GACTTCCTCATCTCCAGCCGGAGGAGCTTCCCCAAACTGCTCTGCCACGGCCACTGCTGTGAGCCCTGTCCCCAGGACCTGGCTGTCCCTTAGGCAAGCTTTTTGCAAGCAGCCTTCTCCTAAATGTCTCCGTCCCTGATGGGGCCTGCTGGGCAGGTCAAATCTACTTGTTCCCATGGCACATTCCACCTTCAGGTCACAGCCCTTGGCACCTGGGCCTGGTCATAGCCTTCCCACCTTGAGGGCAGCCAGCAGAGCTCAGGGTTGGCCTGACACCCAGCCCAGCATGGCCCGATGGGGGCCACCTCACCAAATCCCCAGAGCACCAGCATAAGCTGCAGTCTCTTCTCTTTATGGGGCTGGTGTCTAAAACAAAGTCTCAGTCCCAAGTACATCTTCCCTCGGTTTCCCAAGCAGCCCCAGGTGCCTGGGCCTGGTTTCTGGACCAGCGATGAGGTGAGTAGAGCCAGAATCAGCCCCACAGGAGGGGAGCTGGCCCCTCTGCCGCCAAGGCTCCCGCTGTTATCGACAAGGCAGCCGACAGAATGAGAAGAGCGTCTAAAACACACAGGCTGGGCTGGAGCAGCAGGGCTCACGACCGGCCCTGCCCTCCTCCCCAGCCTTCACTTCCGGCCGGTCACCTCCTCCAGGAAGGCACCTGATCTCCAGGGAGAGCTGGCTGTCCTGCATCTCTGACTGAAAAAGCATCACAGCCCACCCTGAGCCCTGACTACACGCGAGACTTTCACCGTGTGGGGCTAAATCTCCCACCACACTACCCCCGAGTGCACCACCACGCCCAGCCACTCCTGCTTCTCCCTGCACACCCAGGCGCAGCGACCCACTGTGACGGCACTCTTATTCTGGGGCCTGTGACAGCCAGAGCACAGAGATGAGGGTGAAAGAAGCCAGGGACGCTGGGAGCCCGGCCAGGGCACAGGCAGACACGGTCACCCACCTCAGCCCAGCCTCCCACCCTCAGCTCACCTCCCCCAGGGCTCCATCTACCGCTGTTTCCCGGAAAACCCAGACCGCGGCACCCAAAAGAACCGAACAGCAGTCAGGCCTCACTGGAAGGTACGTTTACTGGGTCACATTGTTATAGGCAGCTGAGTTAGATAGAAATATTATAGGCAGTCAGACAAGGCCAGGCCCTTGAAGGAGCCAACAAGAAAGATAAGATACCTGTGGGCCAGATCTCAAGACAAAAGATTAAACAAATGCACCCACATACCTCCCTAGGTGCGGACATCAGGGACTGATACTCTAAACAGATAGCAACCACCTTCAAAAAGCCAGAGTCACCAGCTCAACCTCCTACAGGAAAAGCCCCTGTTCTGTATTCATGCACCTGACTGCTTCCCCATTTGATCCCAGTTTACTCAATTTTACCTGAACTATCATAGTTGTAATCTTACTGGCTGACCGTAGTTTTGTCCATTTTTCCCCTACCTCCGACCCGTCTCACCTCGTGGTTTTGCTCTATAAAAGTCCCTAGAGGGGACTGGGGATTTAGCTCAATGGCACAGCACCTGCTTGGCAAGCACGAGGTCGTGAGTTCGATTTCCGGTACTGGGGAAAAAAAAAAGTCCCTAGAAAAGCCAGAGTCTTGCGCAACCCATTCGGGCCCCCTTCTGCCCTCTCTTGGACAGAAGTTTTCTTTCCCTCAATAAATATATTCTGCTCTTAACCTAGGTTGTTCCTAAAATTCATTCTTCGATTTTAGAGAGCACAAACTCGTCCCAGATATGTTCAGGTTGGGAGTTTTTATTTTCCTATATCAACATCAGGTCCTCGGGACAGTCCTGGGTTGTTTCACCGTGGCGTGGCCCCCAGGGGTACACAGGCAGAATGAGGTAGGTGGGCGGAGGGGCTGCCGAACCCTGGGTCTCAGGGCTCGCGGTTGGAGCAGCTGCCTTTGACCTGGGAGGTGTTCGTTGGGCGGGCCAGTCCTGGGGCTGTCTTGCTTCCGGAAGACTCAGTCCATGTGGTGGGATCACAGGCATTAGGGAGGGAGGAGAGCCAGACAGGAGCCCCAGGCCTGGGATGGCAGTAATGTCACTGCCCACATCTGTCCCTCTGGGCATGGTATCTGGAGGTCCCTGCCGTCCTGGGCTCATCCTGGCACTGGTCAGCTGGGCAGGAGGGGCTCGCGCTCTGGAGAGGCAGCCTTGGTGGCGTTCCTGTACATCAGAAACTGGATGGAGATCTGAGGGCCACGTTAAGGCCAAGGGAGCAGCCTGAGTTGGGTCTGCCTGGAGTGGGGGTGGGGCAGTGCCCACCACTTCCCTCCCTCCCCCCTCCCTCCCCTCTGCAGGTGGGAGACCAGCCACAACCCCCAGCCCCTCAACTCCCCAGCCACTGCTCCTGCCACGCCCTCCACTCTGAGTGTCCTCCTACTCCCCCAGCCCAGCACACCCCATTCCTCTCCAAGCTCTCAGGCAGCCCCCAGGCCCCGGCCCAGGATCCGCCCTGCCACTCTGCCCTTCTCCACCTTCCAGACCACTCTCTTTCTCATTATAGCCCTCAGGGACTCAGTGAGTGTTAAACAAAGGGCTGTGTTTCCTTTGTCCCAAATGAGACCCCAATAATGTTCTGTGCAGGCCTTTAGCAAACATTTACTGGGAACTGAACGCTGGGCTGGCGCAGAGCTTTCAGATACATTATCTGATATCACTGCCCAGGACCCTGGTGAGGCAGCAACTGTTACCTTAGATAAAGGAATAGACGCACAGAGAGGTTGTTGGTTTGCTGTGTCACACAGTTAGGAAGCAGTGGAGGCAGGATTTATCCTGTAGGACAGGATAAAGTTGTGTCTCTGGGCCAAGGTGATTCTGTTCTTGATCACTCATGAGCCTAGTGTCTGGTCAAGTGCTTGGCCCACAGGAGGTGTGTACTCTTTGAACAGATGGATGGATGGACAGATGGACAGATGGGTAGATGGGAAGCTAGATGGGCAAGTGGATGGGTGGGTGGATGGGAGAATGGATGGATGGATGGTGCATGGATGGATGGATGGGTAGGTGGATGGACGGATGGATGGATGGATGGGAGGATGGACGGATGGACAGGAGGATGGATGGATGGATGGGTGGGTGGATGGATGGATGAATGGATGGATGAGAGGGAGGATGGATGGATGGACAGGAGGATGGA